TGACAGAGCACTTGCCTAGCGTGTACCATGCCCTGGGTTTAATCCCCAGAACCAGAAAATATATTGATATAGATTTAGATATCTATATATCTATAGATGGATGGATAAAATCCTTAACCTAGATACATAGATGAAAAACTCCTTCACAAAATACTAGCAAACCACTCCAACAATATGTAAAAAATTATAGGCCTTGATTAAGCAGGATTTATTCTAGGAAGACAAGAAGGCCCACACCTGTAATCCCAGCTATTCAGGAGGCTAAGACAGGAAGATCTCAAGTTCAAGGCCAGCCTCAACAATTTAGAGAGATCCTATCTCAAAATAAAAAATAAAAAAGGAGGGAGGATGTAGTTCTGATAGAGTGCCCTGAGTGTTTAATCCACCATATCATCATCAAAAAAAAAAAAAAAAAAGATTTGAATAGCATTTTTGTGGATATTCAAATGGCTAATAAGCACTTGATACCCAATATCATCAGGGAAATGGAAATCAAAATTACAATGAGATGTCACCTTATGCCCAATAAGATATCTAAAATCAGAGTGACAGACAACTGTAATCCCAGTTACTGGGGAGACTGAGACAGGAACATCTCAAATTCAAAGCCAGCCTGGGCAATTTATCCAGACCCTGCCTTAAAAGAAAACTTGAAAGGGCTGGGGAGGTTGTTCAGTGGTAGAATACTTGCCTGGCATGTGTGAAGCACTTGGTTCAATCCTCAGAACTGGGGGTGGAGATGGGGGGAGATGTAAAATTCGTGGAGTTTTTGATGCTAGGAAAAAGTTTAATTGTGATATACATACACACAAACATATACATATATATTTAGTTAGGTTAGTGTTTTAATCCTTTGAGGATTAAAAGGAAATAAAAATCATCAAGAGAAATTATAAAATGCAATAAAAATGGGAATGATAAGAAAAAAATTAAAGAATGTTATTTTAGAATTTTTTACACATGCACAAATTCAACATTTATTCAACGGTTTCATCATTATACTCACATTTTTTTAATATTTATTTTTTAGTTGTGGTTGGACACAATACCTTTATTTCACTTATTTATTTTTTTTAATGTGGCACTGAGGATCAAACCCGGGGTCCCACATGTGCGAGGCGAGCGCTGTACCACTGAGCCACAACCCCAGCCCTACACTCATGTTTTATTATAAGGTAAAAATATATTTTTTAAATTCTAGAGCTGTACACAAACCTAATTTTTTTAAAGGAATTTTATATTTTATGAATTTCAAACAAGATAACAAATTTCCTTGCTCTAATTATATCTGTTTCTTGTTTCTTTCTTTGGGCTTTTTTTGTTCTGTTTTGTTTTTTGACAGAGGTTCTTCCTGTATTTCTGAGACTGGCCTCAATTTTGTGATCCTTCCTTACCTCAGCCTCATGAGTCACTGGAATTACAATGTGCACCTCTACATCTGGCTAATTATTTTACAAAATACAAAATGTACCTGGATATGGTGGTACATGCCTATGAGCCTAGTAACACAGGCGGATGAAGCAGAAGGATTGCAAATTTGAGCCCCCCCACCCCACGCCCCGCCGGCTTCACCAAATTAGCCAGACCTGTCTCAAAGTAAAAAAAAAAAAAAAAATTAAATGTGCAAGGCTCTGGGTTCAATCCCCAGCACTGCAATGAAAAAGTTACTTAGGGCCTTGCTAGGTTTCTGGGGCTGGCCTCAAAGTTGCGATCCTCTTGCCTCAGCCTCCCACATCACTGAGATTACAGGCATACACCACCATGCCCAGCTACATTTTAATAGACAGACATAATGTGAAAAAAAAATGCATTCTGCAATACAGTCATGATTTTTGCCACAAAAGTGCTCCTGTAAGAAAGCATTCTAGATACTTTTCAGTCATTTTGAAAACTAAATTTCTGTGAAGATAAAAACAGACATGGTGGCACACACCATTACTCCCAACCACTGTGGAGGCAGAGGCAGGATCGCAAGTTCAAGACCTGATTTGGCAACTTAGTGAGACCCTGTCTCAAAGTAAAAAATAAAACGGACTGGGGATGTAACTTAGTAAGCTTAGTGGCAAAGCACCTCTGGGTTTAATCCCTAGTACCAAAAAAAAAAAAAAAAGCAGGCTGTCTAAATGAAATAATTTAACAGAATTACCTGAAAATTAAATGCAAACAAATATTTGACCTGACCAAATAGAAAAGAGTCTAGAAATAATGAATCATGGTATACAAGACATTTAAAATTATGTCTAGTTATTGAATATTGAATATTTCATCATTTCTCATTTAATTTATAAGAATCCTGTGTCAAATGATATTTTCTAATAGATGTCAAAATTCACAAAATACGGGGTCAGTTCCTAGGTTGGCCTGAAATCTGAAAAACATCAATCCTTGAAGTAGGCCTGCTCTAAAGTTGTTTGGAACCTCAATGTAGACACAAAAATGACAAAGACTCTGAGGCACTTAGCACTGCACTTGGTTTCTTGATATTGGTTAATCTGGAGTCCTCCAAATTTGGGGCTGTGAAGTAGAGCTGTGTTAGAAATAGCTAACTGTCACGGGCCTTGGCCTTGCAATGGATTTTGTAACTATGTGGCCCTTGAAATGCCGTGTCTGCCCCAAAACCATGCACTGGGGCCCAGCCTAGTGATCTCTGAGGCAAACTCCTTGAGAGGTAGAGCATGACATCATGAAAGGATTTCCAGGTCTAGTCCTCATTACCTCTGAAACCTGGAACAAATCATCTGACCTTTCTGAGTTTCCATTTCTCATCTGAAATACTGAGTTAGTGACACCAAGATATAATTAGATATTTGTATTTTTGTAAGACTAAATGAGAAAAAAATTACTCTGTATCCAGTATTCAGTAAGCAGACACTAACACAAATTATAATTTTTTTGTACGGAAAGGGCCATGGAACACTATTATCAAAGCAATTCATGAAACTCAGGTTAATTTTTCTAAGACTCTTTATCTCTGGATTTTCCATTTTGGCAAACTCCTAAGCTAAGATTTTAAGAACTAAAGGTCAGAGGGGCACAGGGGCACACACCTGTGATCTCAACAGTAATTGAAGGCTAAGAGCAGGAGGATCACAATTCAAGGTCAGTCTCATTTAGTAAAGATTCTGTCTCAAGATAAAAAGCATCAAAATTCCTCTGGGTTCAAATCCCCTGTACCGATAAATAAATAAATAAAAACTTTAAAGGTCAGAAGAATTACTTCCTAAACATAAATATCAAAGAATGCAAGCTGGATACATATAGGTACATGCCTATAATCCCAGTCACTTGGGACTTCTAARACAGGAGCATGACAAGTTCAAGGCCAGAGTCAGCAACTTATTGAGAACTTCAGTAATTTAGGGAGACTCTGTCTCAAAAAAAAAAAAAAAAAACCCATAAAAGGTTTGGAAATATATCTCAGTAGTAAAACACTGCTGAGTTTAATCCCCAGTATCGGAAAAGAGAGAGAGAGAGAGAGAGAGAGAGAGAGAGAGAGAGAGAGAGAGAGAATGCACACATGCACACACATAGAATTGCAGCATGAACTGTTAATCTTTCTGAGATTAAACTAGTGTTCCCTGGCCCCTGAGCATGAGGAGGGTCTATTAATTTTTGTATTAATTATCAGAATAATTGACCATTTTGAGCAACCACACTAAGAATAATTAAACAACTTTCTATTGTTATGAACAAAGTAAATGTGTACAGTGTTTTTTTGTTTGTTTGGATCTAAGTTGTTATGGTTTGGATCTGGAAGTTTCCCCCAGAAGCTCACAGGCAATGCAACAATGTTTAGAACCTTTAAAAAAAAACAAACAAACAATGTTTAGAAGTGAAATTATTGGATTATGAGGGCTTTCTCTTGGAAAAATATTTACAACTAGTTTTCTGGGGTTATTCTTTTTTTATTTTTATTTTTATTTTTTTGAATTGGGGATTGAACAGGGGTGTTTTACCACTGAGTACATCTCCAGCACTTTTTCTTTTTGGATACGGAGAATTGAACTCAGGGGCACTCAACCTCTGAGCCATATCCCCAGCCCTATTTTGTATTTTATTTAGAGAGAGGGGTCTCACTGAGTTGCTTAACACCTCAAAGTTGCTGAGGCTGGCTTTGAACTCGCGATCCTCTTGTCTCAGCCTCCCAGACTGCTGGGATTACAGGCGTGCACCACCGTGCCCAGCATCCCTAGCACTTTTTATTTTTATTTTTTGAATTTGAGATGGGAAATCATGGCATTTGCAGGTAAATGGATGGCATTGGAGAAGTTAATGCTAAGTGAAGTCAGCCAATTCCCCCCCCMAAAAAAAATGCCAAATGTTTTCTCTGATATAAGGGGGGTGACTCATAGTGGGGTAGGGAGGGAGAGCATGGGAGGATTAGATTAATTCTAGATAGGGAAGAAGGGTGGGAGGGAAAGGAAGGGGGAAGGGGATTAGCAAGGATGGTGGAATGTGATGGTCATCATTATACAAAGTACATGTATGAAGACTTGAATTGGGTGTCAATACACCTTATATACAAACAGAGATATGAAAAATTGTGGTATATATGTGTATTAAGAATTGTAATGCAAAAAAAGTACATGCATAATGGCATAAATTGATGTGAACATACTTTATATAGAGAGATATGAAAAATTGTGCTTTATATGTGTAATAGGGATTGTAATGCATTCCACTGTTGTCGTGTATTTAAAAAAAAAATAACAAAATCAATTTAAAAAATTTGAGATGGGATCTAACCAGGTTGCTTAGGGCCACACTAAGTTGCTGAGGCTGGCCTCAAACTTGGGATCCTCCTCCCTCAGACTTCCAAGTCACTAGGATTATAGGCATTTACCACCACACCCAGCTTGGTTATTATTTCTTAAAATGATCAGTGTGATTCTAGGCATAATAAGTAACTAAATAATAATATTAATATTCTGGGAGCATGAATTTTACTGCCGGGAATCAAAAATGTTAAGGTTTTATCTATTGCTATAAGATATACATACCAGCATTTGCAATGTGTAATACTCCTGAAATTATTTGTGGCATCATCTGGGAAGGGTTGTTCTTTGATAATCCATCCCAGTTATTGGTTCCTTTCCAATTCTTATTAACATGAGGATTTTTAATGCTGCCTTCCAATATACAAGTAACTGCAGAACAGCCACTCCATCGGACCCTGGAAACTTCATTCCTTCCAAGACGTAAAAGCCTATCCATTCTCCAAAACGCTTTTGCAAATGCTTTGTGTGTGTCCTCGTACTCATACTTCAATGCTCTTGGCTTTTTGTATATGGAGGAGAAGAGGTCTTCTATTGCCGTGTATTCTTCTCTAAACACAGTGTGGAAGGAATTGATGATTTCTTGCTGTTCAGTCGTCATTTGGTAGGAAGGATCAAATTTGGAAAGTTGATGGAGAAGTAAAATCGGGAGCTCTGCTGATGCCAAGTCTGCTGCTGCGGCACCATGGTGTCCGTCAAACAAACCAAAAAAACACACATTGGGTTTATTGCCAAAATTATTCATGACAGTGAATTTATCATTCATGTCTACTTTCCATGCAGCATTTCTGTCTCCGCAGATGGCTACACCTTTAATTAATAGGTGAGGTATATGTGGAGAAGACACGGAACTCCCATCAATGTAATCAATAATCTTATAGTATAATGGGATTTGTCTTTTCTCAAGTAGTTCAAAAGCATTATTAATGTTCTGAAGGATTTTTTCATTGAACTCAAAAGATGACAATAGTTGGGAAATTATAAATTGTCTCTGAGCATCCAGGACTGAAAATGGGGGTTTCCTACCACCCATCCATGGGAAATCCAATGTAGCCAGAACTGCATGTTGCTTCTTGTGGAAGAAAATGCCAGTCGTGACAATTTCCTGCTTGCATAAGGAACAGGGGAATGTGATCTCTCGTTTAGCTTCCTGAAGCTCTTCGCTCTGTTTTCTAGATTTCAAAAGTTTGGCTTTCTTAAATTGCTTTTTTCTGCGTGGGACGGAAACATTATCCGATTCAAATGTCGATGTTTTTTCATTCCATTTTCTTGTTTTCCAAAACACTCTGCAAACAAGAAGAAATATATATACAATCTAGGAAAATGCAGTGAAATTCTTGAAACTCTTCAAGCCAGTTGTAGTGAAGCATGCCTGTCCTTCCCGCTACTGGGGAGGCTGAGGCAGGAAGATGGCAAATATGCAGGTCAGTATGGACAGTGTAGTAAGACTCTCTTGCAAAAAAAAGAAAAGGAGAAATAAAAGAATGTAGAGTTCCTGAGTTCTATCCTCAGTACTGAAAAACTAAAACAAAAACAAAAACCTAACCAAAATCAAGTAGACTAATAAAAGGAATGATAGTAAAAATGGATTTAAAAAAAAAAACTACAGTGAAGAGGTATGAGTTGAGGGCAGGAAAGAAAACAGGTGATTTGGAAAACTTAGGCGAAGGATCACAAGTTTGAAGTCAGCTTCAGCAAAGGAGTGAGACTCTCAGCAAATTAGTGAGAACTTGTCTCAAAGAAAAAAAAAATTAAAAGTTCTGGGGACATAGTTCAGCAGTAAAGTACCTCTCTAGTACCAAAAAGGGAAAGAGTGGATCTGCTGGATCATACATATACTCAGGACTGAACCCAGAGGTTGCTTAAGCCCTAAGCCATATCCCCCACCATTTTTATTTTTTACAGGGTCTCAGATGGTTGCTTACAGCCTCGCTAAATGGCTGAGGCTGGGTTCGAACCTATGATCTCCCTGCCTCAACCTCCGGAGCCGCTGGGATTATAGGTGTGCACCACCATGACCGGCAACACCCTTTCTTATACTCCTTCCCATCAGAATATCTAAAACAGTGCTCAGCACATGGGCCATTTTTATTCATTTTATAGACAACTTCTAGGGCCTCAGATCTTTCCAAGTACCTGTGGAAAATTAAAAAAAAAAACTGAAAACAATAACAAAGGTTTAGGTTATGAAATAATTTAAACTCTGAAAAAAATAAACAACGATTTTAAATGTTTATGAAATGTGACTTTTGAAAACTAGTTCATCTTCAATTAATATGTAAAGTGTCTTTGCTACAGGTATATTTAACATTTGTATTCTATATGAGATTTGGGGGTGTCTACCACACTAATACCTAGATCCTCTAAGAACATCCAGGTAAACCAGGTATGGTGATGCACACCTATAATCCCAGCTACTCAGGAGGCTAAGGAAGGAAGATTATACATTCGAGACCAGTCTAAGCAATTTAGCAAGAACTTTTCTCAAAATGGTATTATTAAAAAAGGGTTGGGGATGAAGCTCCGTGCCTACCATGTCTTGGGTTTTATCCACAGAATCAGACCCCCCCAAAAAAAGAATGAATAAATAAATAAATGTCTCTACAATGCTTCCAAATTAGCAAGACTTCTTAGCTTTGCTTCAACAACAAATTTTGGGGAATTTCAATGAAATGAAGTTTTTATTTTTGTTTTGTGGTACTAGGGATTGAACCTAGGGACACTCTAACACTGAGCTATATTTCCAGTCCTTTTTATTCCTGTTGAGATAGGGTCTGGCTAAATTGCATGTGCCACTGAACCTGGAGAACATGTTTGTTTTTTTTTTAAAGAGAGAGAGAGAGAGAGAGAGAGAGAGAGAGAGAGAGAGAATTTTAATATTTATTTTTTAGTTCTCGGCGGACACAACATCTTTGTTGGTATGTGGTGCTGAGGATCGAACCCGGGCCGAACGCATGCCAGGCGAGCACACTACCGCTTGAGCCACATCCCCAGCCCCAGAGAAAATGTTTTTCAACTACCCAAAAAGTAGCTGGTTGTGGTCTCCATGCCTATAATCATAGGTACTACAGAGTCTGAGGTAGAGGATCCCAAATTGGAAAACAACCTGGGCAACTTAATGAGATTCTGTCTCAAAATAAATGCTATGGATGCAGCTCACTGATAGAGTATCCCTAGTTCAATTCCCAGTACAAATAAATTAATTAATTAATTAATTAACTCCAAGAGTAGAGAGAAGAATAAAATAAACCCCTCTATGACCATCACCTGCTTTAACTATTATCAACAATTTTTTATTCTTGTTTTATCTGTGTCACCATCCACTTTACTTATTTATCTAGTGATATGAGGAATTAATCCTAGGAACATTTGGTCTCTGAGCTACATACCCAGAATTTTTTTTTGTGTGTGTGTGTACCTGGGATTGAACCCAGGGGCGCTTAACCACTATACCACCACACCCTATTTTAAAGCCAATGTTCATATCATATTACATATTAATTTTTAAATCAATGCCATCTATATATATTATATATATTATATATATTATATATATAGTTTTTTTTTTTTTAACTAGGAATCGAATCTAGGGACACTTAAGCATTGAGTCACATCCCCAGACTGTTATATTTTTGATTTTGAGACTCACTAAATTGCTTTGGATTTGCRATCCTCCAGCCTCAGCCTCCTGAGCTGCTGGGATTACAGGTGTGAGCAACCTTGCTTAGCTAATGTCATCCATATTTCAGTCTCTTCAACAAATTTGATTAGCATCCAATTACTTCAATCAGCTACTATGGAAGGTGCTAAGATTCCCAAATGAATAAGGCTTTCGTCCTTCCTTTGAGACTAGGGGAAAAGATCACAGTGCTTCCATGTGCTAATCCAGGTCATTAATAAGAGTCTTAAACAAGTCACATGCAGTGGAGGTCAGAGCCCTATTTTTGCTCCCAACCACGGACTCTTCTACCTGGGAATAGCATTATAAACCCTGAAAAAGTGACCTAAAAAAATTCAGTTAAACTGAGTACGGTGGCATACGCCAGTAATTCCAGGAAGCTGAGGCAAAAAGTGAGAGTTCAAAGTCAGCCCCAGCAACTTAGTGAGACCCTGTCTTTTTTTTTTTTTTTTTTTTTGGTACTGGGGATTGAACTCAGGGCACTTGACAACTGAGTCACATCTGCAGCCCCCCCTTTTTTTTTTTTTTTGTATTTTATTTAGAAACAGGGTCTCACTGAGTTGCTTATCACCTTTCTTTTTGCTGAGGCTGGCTTTGAACTTGCCATCCTCCTGCCTCAGCCTCCAGAGCTGCTAGGATTCCAGGCATGTGCCACCATGCTGGCTGACCCTGTCTTAAAAAGAGCTATGAGGGGCTGGGATTGTGGCTTTGTGGTAAAGCGCTCACCTTAGCACTACATAAAAATAAATAAATAAAGATATTTTTAAAAAGGGAGGCTGGAGAAKACAGCTCAGTGGTTAAGCAACCCTGGGTTCGAACTTGGCACTTAAAAAAAAAAAAAAAAAGGAAGGAAAAAAGAATGTACTCACAGTCATTTTGTGCATATGTTCAATTTCAATTTCCAAGTGTTAAGGGTAGCCATATTTATTACACTTGAAGTCAGCTAGATTATAGACTGCATTAGTACTACAGAGTATTTCGTTTTGTTTTCTCAAAATTAGCTGRAGAAATAAAATGGCCTACAAATCTAGATATGATTATAAAGTTAAGAAAAACTGAGGATGCACTTAGGACTTTTCAAAAGAGAGAGAGAGAGAGAGGAAAGAGAGAGACACCCTTTGGTGTTGCAACTACTGTGATCCCAGCAGCTCCACAGACCCAGGCAGGAGGTCAGTCTCAACAATTAGGAAGACCCTGTCTCAAAATAAAAAAAGGCTGGGGGGGCTGGGGATGTGGCTCACAAGGTAGCGCACTTACCTGGCATGCATGGGGCACTGGGTTCGATACTCAGTACGACATAAAAATAAAATAAAGATGTTGTGTTCTCCGAAAACTAAAAAAAAAAAAAATATTAAAAAATTCTCTCTCAAAAAAAAAAAAAAAAGGCTGGGGCTATATCTCAGTGGTGAAGCATCCCTCAGTTCAATCCCCAGTACCAAAAAGTAAGAAAGAAAGAGATATCAGCAAGGAGTTCAAGGCAAATCTAAAGGAATTACTAGTTATCGGACAAAAGGAGAAAGAAGAYCCGGAAAATAAATGGGCAGGCACACAGAGAAGTAGGGAGAACAGTTCTATCACTTTCTTTTAAGCTTTTTTGACCAAAAATGTATATCAGATTTGTGATTGCTATTTCTTGGTAATTCYTGGAAAGAATGACATTTTTACAAGTTATAAATGACATTTGGGACAATGCACAAAGCACCATAATATTGATTTGCTTGGTAATTACTCTTGGATGTCAGAACTTCCTTTTTCTTTTCTTTTTTTTTTGGGGGGGGGGTGTGGGAGCAGGTGGAAGATACCAGGGATTGAACTCAAGGGCACTCCACCACTGAGTCACATCCCCAGGCCTATTTTGTATTTTATTTAGAGACAAGGTCTCACTGAGTTGCTAAGGGCCTCGCTTTTGCTGAGGCTGGCTTTGAACTTGCCATCCTCCTGCCTCAGCCTCATGAGCCAGTGGGATTATAGGCGTGTCCCACTACACTTGGCTCCAACTTCCTTTTTCTATATGTAGGGGACAACTTTGGCACAGCCCTCACAAACGTGAAGCCATTCATARAACCTAATTTGTCACTCCATGTTCGTTCATTCACTCAGACGTTCAAGACACAGGTTGAGTGGCCCTTATCTGAAATATTTGAGACCAGAGGATGTTCTGGGTTTTGAATTTTTTCAGATTTTGTATGTTTTTCTGTACATAATGAAATATCCTGGAGATGAGACCCAAATCTAAATTAAAAACTCATTTGTGTTTCATACACACCTTATACATGTAGCCCAAAGGTAATTTTATATACAATAATTTTGTGCATGAAACAGTTTCATGGTGTTGAATTTTCTGTATCATCATGGTGCTCAGAAAGCTTTGGATTTTGGAGTATTTCAGATTTCAGAATTTTGGATTTAGGGATACACAACCTGTAATAAATTAATTATAAATATAGCTGGTCAATTAAAATAAGAATATTTTGGGCTGGGGATGTGGCTCAAGCGGTAGCATGCTTGCCTGGCATGCGTTCGGCCCGGGTTCGATCCTCAGCACCACATACAAACAAAGATGTTGTGTCCGC